AATGGTAACAGTTTTCCCATCACTCAAAATACATGCACGGGTTAGAGCAAACAACTCTGCAGCTTGGGCAGAGAGGTGGTGAGGAAATCTAAATCCTCAATTACCCCATCATCAGTGACAATGGCATATCCTACATTATTACATGAGGAAGAAAGTGATTTGCTGGCTGAGCCATCAACATAGAAAATCAAATCACTGTTGGCAATGGTTCATCAGATAAATCAGCACGTGGGGTACATTGTTGATTAATGACAGTCAAACAATCATGAGGTTCCCCATCCTCCTCAGTAGGCAGAAATGTTGACGGATTCAAAATGGGGCTACGGACAATCGAAACATGTGGTAGTGACAACAAGACATTGTGGTAATTTAAAGACCTCGCACCAGAGAGGTGACTTGTCTTGTGCTCCAACAGGATGGAAGACACAGAGTGAGGAACCCGTAGCTCAAGAGGCTGGAAGCAGACTAAGGCCTGCGACCGTAACACAGCCTCTGCTGCGGCAGCCACAGCTTTTAAGCAATGAGGTAGTCCCTGTGCAACCGCATCTAGCATGGATGAAAGATAAGCAATGGGGCGTTACTTGTCCCCATGTTTCTGCATCAACACAGAGGACATGTACCCGTTCTTCTAACATACTGCCTGAACAAAAGGTTTAGTGGGATCAGGAAGCTAAACACTGTTTGAGCTGTGTAAATGAGTTCTCCCCTCAAAAGTCCACACCATCCTATCGTGGGAGGCTAACTTCTGATTATAAACCATGCTCTCTAAAGGTTGGACTAACAAGGCGTACTCAGGAACCCATTGTCTACAGAAGCCAGTCATCCCCAAAAATGACAACATCTGCTTCTTGGTCAGAGGTTTAGGCATGCTAGTAATAGCTTTGATCCTGTCTACACTCAGACTTTTACCCTCAGGGGTGATCATGTGCCCTAAAAAGATAACTTCACTTTGCACAAATTGAAGTTTGTTAGGGCTGGCCTTGTGGCCCTGTGATGCTAGATATTGTAGCAACAGAACAGTGTCTTTTTCACAAGACGCTTCGTCAGGGAGCAGATCAACAAATCATCAACATATTGACAAGTGTACTACCATGACTAAATGTGAATTTGTCCAAAATATCTAAGAGCGCGGGGGCCGCGGAGATTCACATTAGCCTTGTGGTAAACATGTCCATGTGTACATCAGACCAGAAAATTCAAAAGCAAACCAAAACTGAGAATCTTTGTGTACTGGTACACTGAAAAAGCGTTTGCCAAATCAATAACAGAAAATATTTGCTCCCACCGAACTTGGGACTTGATTGTGTACGGATCAGTAACGCCCGGTGCACGAGCAAACACTGCGCCATTAACCTTTTCAGATCCTGAACAAATCACCATGCTGTAGCATGACCGGGAACCTTGGCTTTTTAACCGAAAAATCGGAGTACGACATGGGCTGTTTGGGCAAGATACAATGATCCCTTTTTCTATCAATGCCTCAAAAACAGGAGTAATGCCCTGGATTGCTTCTTGGTTTTAATGGGTATTGTGCCTGACAAGGTCTGTGAGGTCCCCTGGGCGTAACTACGAGTGGCTGTGCGCTCTGCATTAACCCGACATCGTATTTATGTTGTGACCATAGAGAAGGAGGAACATCCGCTAGCCTTGGGTCTGTTACGGCTATCTGAGTCGCACAAACATGGAACAACTCATTGACAGGCGGAACTAAATGTACCCTCTACGTCCTATCACAGTACACCGAAACGCCCCTATGCGCTTGTGCCATCTCGGACCAATCAACACTCTCCATCTGGGTTGGAACCCAATCAGAAACCTCGCTACACTTCTTAACCCAGTGACCTACAATGTCCCGTGTGCAGCTAAATGGGTGTTCAACAAGCAAAACATGTGGAACTGATCCATGTACTTGAAAGGAACGTGACACTCCTTTGTGCCTCTCACTGACCACGCACATAACCCAGCATCACT